TACCTCCACTTATGTTGTCAAGTGAACTTCCATAGTAGGAGGCCCCTGTGTTCTTTATTCTTAGCAAATCTTTATGGAAATACCTTCAGCAATACTGATCTCTCCTGTTCAGAAGCTTGTCTTTTTTTCCTCTACTTGCAGCTTCTTGATATTTACTCACCTGTAGAGTGGGTAGTGATACTCAATATTAAATCCCTGTTCTGTACAGTTTCCTAAAATAGTTCCCATTGCTGATGCTGTCACAGCTATAACACAAGATATTTATCAATTGAATATAATTTACATATAAAATTAAATTAAGGACAGCAGCATCTCTTGGTGTCAAAGGACAATTCTGAAACCCACAATTAATTTCTTGAATGTGATTGCATAATTGTTTCTTATAAGGTTTACGATCCTGCATTGTCTCAGCATTACTAGGACTTTGTGTTCTGTATTTTAAGCCTGCTGTTAAGTTCCACTCTTGAGTTTTATTGCTGTTTGTTGCTGATGTGCAATTTCTTGTACTTCCTAAAATTAGTTTGCAAGAATTTTTGCAGCTATGCAGTATAAAACTTATTGTCTATTTACTGAAAAATTATCTTTATATTCCTTGATGACTTTAACATATAAATTTTAAGTAGTAGATAGCAAGCTTTAAGAATGCTTCAAATTTACTGTTAAAAATAAATTCAATTTTTTTGAAACCTAAGTCTTACTAAGGCAACATTCTACTCTCTATTGTCAAAGCACTGCATTTTATAACTTTTTATAGTTATTACATAGATCATTCAACAGGACTTTTTTCCTTCTTTATTATAACCATTATTTTATTTTAGGAGGTTTTGGAAAACTAAAAAGTTATTTGAGGAGCTTCTGTAATTCAATATGGACTTTGAATCTGAGTATCTCTAGTTTTAGATCAGAATCCTAGCCATCACAGCAGCTCACACACTTACTGGGAGGTGGGGGGGGGGGGTAATCTTTCTGTATTCTAAACCAAATCTGGTTTACAGATCAAAATTTACAAATTTAATTGAACTCCTGAATGAAATGAAGAATTAAAGTTACACATTCTTTGCAAGTACAGAAAAACATTTTTAATATTGAAACTTTACCATTTGAGTATAGAATCGCTTTCTGGGTTTGCATACTTATTATATATGTACTATATTTAGAAATGACTTCCGTGCTAAGAGGTTGAGGTAAAGGGTTTTTTGCCTACATCAATAACTACACCTTAGTTATTCCCAGGAAAGAACTTGTTTGGTGCTGGATATACTTTGGTGTTGTTTGATCTTGAGCTATAGGGTAAATAGGGGCTTTGAAATGATTTGTCATTGTCATCTTCTGAAACTACAAGGAATTTGCAGAGGTTATATAAATTATAGTTAAAGCTATTTTTGTCTCTCTAAAGTAAAACAATAATTAGTATTGTTGTATCCCTAGACTACCTTTTGAAGGAATTATAATAAGTGGTGGTGCTACTGGTGGAAGAATTGTTATGCATAAATATGGCCTTTAGATCATTATCTCATGTTTCATTGAGAGAGCCAGATGCCGTGAAACAATTATGTTGTGCATAGATTGAAGAACGGGAGTTTCCTATACCTAGTTTCAAAGAAGATGTGTGGCAGAAAGCTCTGTAGCAGTGTGCTGTTCTTTCTATTGTGATTGGTAATTATACTGCCCCTCTGGTAATTCTAGTTTTGTTCTTTGCATAGAGTCAAGTTTCAGTGGCATGTATTCTTGATCTACTCATATTTAATAGGTAAGAAGGCTTCTGCCTGTTATATGCTCTCTATACTTTTTAAGCTTCTGATTTCCATGATTGAATGAGTTTCACTATGATAACTTCAGTGCTGGTCAAGTAGTGGGAAGATGATAGATTTTCCATTTCTTAAGGGTGCAGCTTTCACATTTTCAGTACATCCTTGATGACTTTTTTAAAAGCAGCAGTAATTTACTTCCCATTTTAAGTTCAATAATGGCGTCCTTCTCTAATGTTGACACTTTGGATATTAGACAATGGCTGTTTTTCATGCTTTTGTTTCCATTCTGGAGAGAAAAATAAATATTCTGTTTCATTAAAGGGGAGGGGGGTATGAAAGATACTGCTTTTTAAAATGTACCCAACTGTTTCTGTTCGGGAAGATAAAACAAAACTGTGATTGTTGTAACTGTCTGCATTGCCATTTCTCAGTCTTTCTGAGACAAACAGTAATAAACTATGTCTGGCTCACAGTACTAATTTAATTTTGAACTAGCAAGTCAGTGGAAATGGTATAATGATAGAGACATATGTGGTTCTAGGTTTAGCAACAAACCGATGCACATTTTTGGTGCACATGTACCTCTCATGGCTGGCTGTAATCATTATGGTACAGTCTTCTTTTTGGAAACATTGTTCACCAATATTGTTGTTAGCAATTTGTCTTGTTTTAGCTCAAGGGAACACCATTGTGTTTTTTACTCTATAATTTGTCCATTACAGGTTGCTTTCTAATTATAAATTAAGAAACATATGGTCATGTTGCACTTTTAGGAACAGTTTGTACTCATCAGGCATGTGAAGGCAAGGCAGACTTTTTAATTTTTATTTTATTCTTGTTTTGATGAAACATCTTCTAATGTGTACTAGCCATCAGATGGCAATTCCAGGAAATTCTGATTTTTTGGAAAAGCTACTTTTTCTGAGATTATCCTCTTAAAGTTCTATTCATTAAAGGATTTGGGATCCAATCTAGTTTTTTTTTCCATAGAATTAAAATAGTTGCTTTTCTGCTGTTTTGCTGACTCACTGATAATTTGCAGTTTCATTGCTTTGTAAAATACATTTTGGCCAGCAAATCAAATGGGAGTCCATTTGGATCCATTTAGACATCACAGCAGGGATAAACACTTGCTTCATTCGAATTTCAGTTAAAGATGATTGACTGAAACTCTGGAGCATGAATAAAGGAAATGGCTGAAGAAATGCTGCTACAAATAAGTTCTTTGAGAGTTCTTGGGAGATTCATTTGTGCCTTGGCCTGTTTCTCCCTTCAGTGCCTGTCCTTTGCTTTTCATGCCTGTACATTCTAAGCTCAGTATCTTGGTGCATTGCTTAGTACTGTATGTGAAAACTTGCAGTTGTTTTTGTATGCATCTGTGCATAACAGATGTCACTATCAGGCTTGAAGGATTTTAAAATAGCTCAGTAAAGAAGGGGATGAGGAATTGCCTTCCAGTGCAAGAATTAAGGCTGGCATATTTCTGTGTAGGGTGATCACTCCAGATTTTTCGTTCATCTATGGTTTCTTGCTTTAAGGAAAGCTTCCTTCCATTTTTGAATTATGTTCTTTTGTCAAACTGATCATTTTCTTCCTTTCCTTAATGTTTCCAATTATCTTCTTTCACTGTTGGAGCAAGCCTTTAACCTCCCAGCATACTTCCCAGTGGTAGAGAAGGGATTAATTTGTTGCCTGGGATTCAGGGAACGTCGCCCACACTCTTAGGAATATTTTGGAGGGAACCCCTCTGCTGCTGCCTAGCCCTGCAGAGCTCAAAGAATCAGCTGGAAAAGAAGAAGCAAACACTTGAGCCATACCACTGTTGGTGACTTGGACCTTCAGATTATATGCATCCGAATCTGATCTGTACCAAGATATTTTATCCTGTTCCTCATTGCCACGTCTTTTAATGGAAAGTGGCAGGCTTGACATTCATAACTATGGGTAGTCCTTGACTTACAACCATTCGTTAGTGACCATTCAAAGTTGCAACCGCACTGAAAAAAGTGACTTACGGCCATTTTTCACACTTACAACCGTTGTAGCATCCCCATGGTCACATGACCATAATTCAGACATTTGGCAACTGGCTGATATTTACGATGGTTGCAGTGGCCCAAGATCATTTGAACACCTTTTGTAACCTTCTGATAAGCAAAATCAATAAGAAAGCCACATTCATTTAACAACAGTACTAAGTTAATGGTAGTAACTTAACAACTACAGTGATTCACTTTACAACTGTGGCAAGAAAGGTCATAAAATGGGGCAAAACACTTTTAACAACTGTTTCATGTAAAAACAGAAATTTTGGGATTCAATTGTGGTTGTAAGTTGAGGACTACCTGTACTCATTCATATAACAAAAATGTGAAACACTTACTGGAGAGTGTGCCTAGTCCTGGAGGAAAGCAAACTCTTTTCTTGGAACTGATGAGTGTTCTCTGTCCTTTAAAGGGGTTAATTCAGATAGTGCATGGCTGTTTGGAAACTGTTGTATTTCTTTCGGTCAGATCTTCTGCACACACTTGAAAACAAACAACTGTGTTTCCAGTTCTGCTGCCCCAGAGTGGTTCCTGCCACTCCTAAAAGAGTTAACTGAGCAAGTGCAGCAGTGGTGGAGCCACGAGAAGCTGATGATGCAAACGTGAGGGAAGAGTGGAAAAGAAGCAGAGAAGCCAAGGTGAGGAGAGAACAGGGAGATATAAATAACTTGGGTGCTTAGCTAGGGAGTGACTTTCTGTCTTGGTTTGTCCGGCCCTGGTACTGCTGGCATCGGCTCTCTAGGGGAAAGCTGCAGTTCTGCTGTTAAAACACAAGGAGCAGCCTGGAGAATTTTGAGCTGCGTCACACAGCTCAGAGGGAGAGAAGGAGAGCCAGCTCTGTCGATAGGTCTACTAGCAACAGCCTACTGCAGCAAGAGACACAGAGAGAGAGATCATGCAAGAGAAGTAATAACAACATTGGGAAGCATGGTTCCTTTTCAATCCAGCATGTTTTTTTTTTCTTTAAAGAGACATTATTTGGGAACTTGTTGAAGATCAGTGCATTTTGTCCACTGATGGTACCGGAAAGATGCGACGCAATTAATCCCGCAAAGGTGGGGGGGCAGATATAGGAAGGGTTAATGGGAGGAAAATTCTGGAATATTCTGTGCTGCGGCAGAGCGAACAGAGGGTTGAGGACTGCACAGGTGTAGATGAACAGATCTCATGGTTCCTCTATTTAATACGTACGTATTTTTTTATCGGAGCTGGGGGGGGGAGTTGAACTGAGTGTCTCACTTTGTATGTATGTAGCTAGAGGTATCTTTCTGCCCTGCCATTCCTAAAACTTTTCATCCAGTATTATTTTCCTATGGCTAAATGTTGTTTCTGTGTCCTGCATCAGACCAATGGAATGAAGGCACAAGTTATAAAATGTCAATGCATAGCTAGCTATAATGCAGAGTCAAGAAATGAGAAAGGAAATAGAACAGTAGTTTTGCAGAGGATGCCATCTAATATCCCCTTCCCCAATTTCCTTATTAAATCAAGAAGTTGGCAGAGAGGTTTATCAAGACACCCTGGATCTTTAAAGCTGAGAATCTGTATCTGCAGAGTTAGGAAAGTGGCAAATAGACAAATGATGACGCAGGGCTCTTTGCTTGGCATGTTGTTAGGTTTAGAAAGCATTGGTTGGGGGGGTGGGGGTGGAGAGGGGACAGGTACATTGTGAAGCCCCAGACCAGCTGACAGAGGGTGAGTTAAGAAGGGAAGATTGCATTTAAGAATTAAATGTCATCATTTTGGCGTCGGAAAGTTGTTTACCTTTCTCTCTGCGTGTCTCCATGTTGGCAGCCTTCCAGCTCACATGTGATAGTCTTCCCTGTACTGCTGCATCATTAACTGAGTGCCTGAGCTTGCACATGATTGGCTGGGGAGGGCTTTCATTCTAAACACTAATTTCTATTGGAGGGAGAAGCAGTGGCAGGTGAAATGCTGTCTGAGATTGGTTAGAGCCAGAATATCAAATCTAAATGTTCCATTCCAATTGCTTTAAAAGGGGTTCTGAACAGTTTGTGACTTAAAATGTTAGCTATTTGCTTTTATTCCCCACCCACTCCTCCTTTGGATTCCAAGCACTTTGGAATGTGTCTGTATTCTCAGAGCTAGTGTTTTAAAGAGAAAAGCAAAAAGCAGGAGCTTGTCTATTGTAGGTTACTTTAGTTTATTACTGGTGCAAGTGACGCAGAAGGAAAAACAAATATTCTGTGACTCGAGTTGCATCAGTGACAGGCATATTTCCGGCTGCTGTGAGACAAGCCACGATGACGTGACATTATTATAGCCTTCAGGAGAGATAACAAAAAGAGACTTTGGTGGGTGTCTATCTTTGCCTTTGTGTGAAAAAACTCTTAACTAAACCAAGCAGTTTTCTTCTGTTATAAACTCTCTTGAGGATAGAGAGAGATTGCTTGTTAGAGGAGAATCTGTAAAACGCTGGACAGAGCTTAGAACAAAAATGTGTCTTAGGTTACAACACTGTGAATCGAAAGTCAGTGCTGGATGAATATAGTGGTAAGAAATACAAAGTTTACTTTCTGGTTGTTTTATTTTACTTTTAAATGAGATCGTTGTGAGTTCTAAGATGGTAGGATAGTTGGGCAGTTGTGAACTATAAACTAGTTCAGGTAGGGGTGCTGGAAATCTTTCATTTATGATACATACGTATCTAAATAGATGTGTTTCTTTAACATTTCTGATCAACTTTGTTTTCCCTTCTGACCTATCCCAAAGCCAATTCCAGATATAAAATTATTGTGGAGAATGAAGTCTGTTTTACCTTCTTTTTCTTTTGGAATTTCAATGAAATTCTAAGCAATAAGCATTATCACAGAGCATGAGGGATTATTTCCTGTGGTACATTCTCATGAAATGTTCCAGTAAACTGAAGGATTTAACAATAATATAAGAATCTGTGTGGGTGACTCACTGGCATTGAGAGAGTCAAATATAGCCAGTTGTTCAGCAGTAGTTTTTTGGCTTTTGAACCAGATCAGATAACACTTTGATTCGCCATCTTGATTCTTCTAAAGTATTCCTATCTTCTCAAGTATTGTTTCAAGATTTTATTGCTTGCAGGCTTTAATAATCCCAGGAAGAATGAACGAACATAGTCTGCTATTCAGAAGAAAGGAAAAATAACCAGAAAGCCGTATCTGGAAATGGACATGATACGTGAAAGGAAAAGACAGATAGATGTGATAGATACCTACCTCCTCTGATACTCTCTCAAACATAACTTCATTTTTATTATATCTTCTCCGTTGTCAAGTGTTATGCCTAATTTGAAATTCTTCCATTGGAAGCGTACCACCTTCGTTTCTCCTTCTCCCCACTGAGACTCCTTGCTCTGCAAAGCTGTCTCCTCCAGAGGCAGTCTTGCATCCTGCGGTGCTAATTCTGCAGAGGAGGGCAACCAGAGGTCCATCTGTGATGGGATACACTCAGGCTGAGATTTTGCTTCTTCTGTCACGAGCAAAAAAAAAAGTGAGTAGGTTTGAAAAAAGTTGGGTTACTTTCATTTTGACCGACGCCATCTAAACAAGCATAGCTTGCGTTTTTTAGATACAGCCACTAGGGATTGTATATTGGTACAGGGGTTTTCATTTGCTTTTTCTTGTCACATGATACTCTGTAATGGCATACCTTAAACATTTTTAGAGTGGGTTGGATTTGTACAAGAGAAAGATTACTAGTACATGCGTTTTCTTGATTCCCCCAAATAAGTGCATTTTCTCACCCAGGCATTAAAGGTTGAGACTGTTTATGTACGTATATGTCAATTTGTTTTTATAAATTTGAATACAGTTCTTAATCATTGCTGCTTTAATAAGTAATTGCTCACATAAAGATACTTTAACATATGAAAAGTGAAGCTATGGTGAGTTGTTTTTGCTCTACTGTTGTGGAAAGATTTGACAGTTCATCTCTTATGTCTCAGGTTAGCAATACAAGTGAACCACAAGCTTGTATATAACTTGTTTGCAGGTGGTTTTGAGATTTCTGATGCTGCCCTGAAGCTAGATGATTTGGCATTAGTACCTTGTGACCTTGGGCTAATTTGCCAGTTTCTGCTTTTCTTTGTCATCCGCAAAGTGGGCATAATAAGATGTGCGTCACAGGAATGTTGAGACTTCTGCTTGTTTTTTTTTTAATAACAACCATGAAGTCTTTTCTGAAATGCAAGGGCTTCCTTATAAAATGGGATTGGTGTTTTACATTAGGATTACATAGTGTAGATGTAATTTACCAAGGCCATGCAATAAACATAATGTGTGTCCCTAGCTACTGCTATTTTTATTTTTTTTATTGGCACCATTTTGGCAGCCAGATGGACCCAATTCTTAACTACATTTTTTCTAGTGATTGATTGTGACGCATCTAAGTTTGAATCTACTATTTCTTTAACAAGCTAAATAATATTAACAAAAATCAGTTTTAGGGAGGGAGGAACCTATCTTTAAAATCATAACAAAACTTGTTTTCTTAATCAGAAATGTTTTGGTATCAGCACGTATTTCTTTCACTCATGCTAACAGCAGGATATATAGTTTAAACTATTGATTAAATATAGTTTAATGATGACTCCTGTCCATTTTGTTGCTGGCGAAATATATTCAGAGCCGGCGATATGATTGCTATTAATTTCTGTCTCGTACAAAAACAGTCTTCAATTTGTATCCGGAAGATACTTGCTGTTGCTGGGAGCAGAATCATTTTCTTGAGGTATTTTTCTCTCCTGGATTTTCTATATTTTTTTAAAAAAATTAATAGTTTATGAAATAGTATTTGATTGTAAACTTGATAACTCCCTTTAATTTCCCTCACCCTGTTCCAACCAGAATACAGACCTAAAATATATTTTGCATTTTCTCGTCTTGTACCAGGTAGCCATTTGTATTGATTTGGGTGTGGTAACTCTGTCTTCCATTTTCTTCCACAATTCCCTCAATATTTGCATTCATAGTTGGAAAGAAATATTTCCTACAGTAGCAAATATGAAGCTTAAATTTCTGCAAGGAAGACAGATAATAGAGGATTGTGGCTTCCTCTACCCCATACCCACAACTAGGCTTTTTAATTTTATTTTTAAATTAAACATTTTACTGCACCTTTACAAAAGCACATTTTTAGAAGATTTTTGTATTTCAGAATTGCTTGAAGAAGAGAAACGATACAATGTAGCTTTCTGGGTAGCCATTTTGCTGTATCATCATCTACTGTTACCACGTTGCAAAATCCTGAATTATATTTACTCATAATTCCGGAGCATAATGCCCAAGGCCAAATTGGAAACTCGGTTATTTGTCTTTTCTCTATAGACTGAACATAATGCATAAATATAAATTAAATAATCTATGAAGCTCTAAGTTATAGCCAGAATTAAAGTTATTTTGAGGTATTTTTGTTACCAAATTTTGCTTTCTCGTAATGTAAAATTTTTGTTCATCTTTTATCTATTTGTATTTATAATGTTACTTTCTTCTTCAATACTCTACTTTCATTAGCTGGAGAGATCAGTAAATTATTCTCCAGATGTAAATATTCTCATTGAAATTATATATTTGAATCACATTAGAACATCCAGATTAATAATGATTAGTGTACAGTCATAAAGCCAAGATGGTGGGCAGCTCCAGAGTTAGTACTCTGAATGAGCAATAATCTAGTAGAAAATAAAGATTTTATAGAATACATTCCTTAATTTAGAATACACATAGGAAAAAATACTGTTTTTTTTAAAGGAAAACATTGGTATGGAATAGAAAGTTGTCACTGTTGACCAGTGGTGGGCTTCAAAAATTGTTCGAACCTACTCTGTGGGTGTGGTCTCCTTTGTGGGAGTGGCTTGCCGCCCATGTGACCGGATATGAAGATGCCGAAGACATTTGTCAGAACCACCTTAAATTACCTCACACACAGCACTGGCAGGCATAAGAATAGGATGTAAACCTGTTTTTTAAAAGGCATCTTTGGTTTGCGTTAAAACAACTTCAACACACGCAATGTTCTGATTGCACCACAAATGCAGTAGTTAGTCATCCTTACCTTTCAGAGAGGCACTGAGTTTTATAAATATGAGCATGATAGTGTAGAATAATCATATCCAAGGACCAGTGGTGGGTTTCAAAAAATTTTGGAACCTCTTC